TTATTGTCATCTCTTGTGTTTCCCGAGAACCGTCTTTTTTTTACGAAGTGGATATATGATCGGCTCCGGTTCAAAGTCTTCGATGTACTAACTTTTTTTTTGAGTGCTAGTTTTGTTTTGGCAAAAAAAAAATCTTTTATATCTTTATTATTTTTTTTAAAAAAGATGTCGATTCATATTATAACGTTCTATTTCGAGCAGCTTTAGTTTTTTTTTACACTTAGCGTGACGCAGGCTCCCGCTCAATTAAGGTCTTCGATGCACTATTTTTTTTGGAGTTTTAAAATGTACAAAACAAATCCCAAATCCCCATTTTGGATAGGTTTTTTTTTCCAGCGGTCTAAATCCCTGACCCTGTTTAAGACACTAAAAAGTAAAAATCTTTTTTTTGTTCAAGACAAATCGGAAAAATAAGGAATAGCTATCTACGCCGCAACCATTTTTTTTTCAATTATACTGACATCCATCAAAGACAATAAGAAGTTTTTGATAACACGTTTTTTTTTGGACAGTGAAACGGTATTTCTACGGTGTTATGAAAATATTACCCTGTCCATTTTTTTTACACAAAAATTATATCGGTCTCTTTTATCTAAATTGTAGAGCCTGTTTAATTTTTTTTCGGGTGAAATGTATACCCTGTTTAAGACAGCAAGGCCAAAAACCATACCCTTTTTTTTAGCACGTCCCCGTATAGCAAATATATGGGAGAACTTACATAAGAACAAAGTTTTTTTTTGAGATCATCAAATCTATTAATTTATGTATACGTGGTTCACGAATCCCCTTTTTTTTTAACAATGACTTTTTATTCGATTTTAAATTAAATGTAAATTCTGCAGATATTTTTTTTTGTTTTTTTTTCGTAAATAATAGGACGTTTCTATAGTTAAATTATTTAATGTTTTTTTTATTCTTTTTACTACTGCATAGTTATATTTATAAATTTTAATAGTTATCATTTTTTTTTTAAAATTTAATATTTTAGTAATTTTTTTTAACTTTTTTCTATATTGTAATTTTTTTTTTTTATATAATTATTATTAAAAATTAGTTAATGTAAAAATTAAAATTAAAATTTTTTTTTCTTCGATGCACTAAATGAGCTACTCTGCGAATATAGCTTACAAAAAAATTTTTTTTTCTGCATCGGAGTTGACTGTCCTTCTGAGGGACAAAACTGAATCACGGCTCTTTTTTTTAAAAAATATTCACGCCTCACGGCTAATTTTTTCGCATTTTCAAGACTAACTTTTTTTTTTTCAGCCGTTTCACGGCTAACCCCATTGAGACCCTCCTACATGGTATCTTTTTTTTTTTTTGGGTTTCCTGTTTACCTGTGAGTATAAAAGATTAACATTTTACTGATTTTTTTTGAACTTGCTATATTCAAATAACTAGACGCTCTTGGAGCGTGATGTCGGTCTTTTTTTTTTGGGAAATTGAGAAAGACAGGGTATTACATGGATGCGCGCCGGTATAGGTTTTTTTTTGAAAGGTTTTAAACACGATAAGATTATGATGTTATATTCTGTCTAATCATTTTTTTTTATATGAAAGCTGGGTGATTTGAGAAAATGCGACTAGCCAATCAGCGCAATTTTTTTTACCTTATGTTGTAAACATAACCCCCCCGACAGGAGGAATTTGCACAGCAATTTTTTTTCCAGTGGAGTGGGCTGCCTGCCATTTTATTCTATCCGAAAAATCAAAGCTTTTTTTTTAAGAGAAATTGAACATCTTTATAAAATAGCTTTTATTAAATGTCAATCAATTTTTTTTCGTTATAGAAATAGAATTTTATCTTAAAATGAAATAACGAATATTTTTTTTTTTTTTTCCTAGAGACTTCCCTCCCTGATAAAAATAATTGGTCTGTGTTCTACGCGGTTTTTTTTTTGCATGCGAAGCAATGGCCGACTTCACGAAGGCTTCTGAAGGTCGTTGATTTTTTTTTYAAAGTATCTTAGGAGGAACCATTGCAAATCCTTTTTCTTAGCTCTTGTTTTTTTTTAGCTTTGAGGTATCTACAACATCACTGAAAGAGCTAGAGCAGCTTAGCTCTTTTTTTTCCAATAGAGTTAAAGCGTTTAATATTTTTGGTACAAATCAACTGTCGTAGTTTTTTTTTTGTCGCATTTTCGGCAATAAGCCGCAAGCAACAGGTTGACSTTATGTAATTTTTTTTWTACACATTTACTAGCTTTGACCTTACAACGAGAGCTATAACGATGACTGTTTTTTTTCGGACAGTCGGTTTTTCGTGTAATGTCTTGATAGCGACTGTTTATATTGCTTTTTTTTTCAAAACAAAATTCCATCGTGAAAAAAGTTCCACTAAATAATTCCCTTCAATTAATACTTCCTTAAACTGAAGTTTTATTTACGCAAAACTCCATGTAAAGTTGACTTTTTTTTTTTTCTTCTTTCCTGCAGGCGTTGAAGATCATTCCACCAAAGCTTCAGCTACTTTTTTTTTAGTCCAATTTGGATAAACTGGTAAACTGGTACACGTACACGGGGTAAAATTTTTTTTTCATGGCGTTTGTCCAAACCACCACACCTTACATATGGTTACCAGGAATATTTTTTTTACAGAGGTAAAGAGCAAACATACTTTGGAACTAGAATTTCTTGAATCTAGTTTTTTTTTGTAGCGCTCAAAATGTATATGAATCCTGCCATAGGAACTGCTGAACACTTTTTTTTTGCAAGATACTTAATAATCTGTTAGTTGTTAAACCGCGGCAATCCTCTAACTTTTTTTTCGAAAGGACGTAAGGGAACAACACCAACAAAAAAGACGCCAGTAACGCATTTTTTTTTGGATATTCCACCGAAAGGGGTGAGCTCTGTAGGACTGGTTGATACAGGATAGCTGTATTGTAGAATGGATGAATGAATTATTGATTGATTGATAGATGAATAAGTGAATTTTTTTTAGAGTGGGTTAATGCGGTAGA